AGAAATTCACTCTAACACTCTAGAGGAAAAGCCTCTGTCCCCCCCCCCACCTTAGTGACTTAATGACTGGAAACCAGGTGTGGTAAAGACTCCCAAGCTTCAATAGTAGAATCTGGGGGGGGGGGGGGTTTGCTTGTTAGGAAGTCCTGAGGAACAGTGCTCTGGAAACAGTGTTCCATAAAATTTTAAAAGCAAACCAGCCCTGATTTATTCAATCTGATGACTGGCAGGGATGGGCAGGATCCCCTTTAGCTTTACCCATGAATGGTGATCAAGCATAGTATGGTAATACCACCTGGTGAGCTCCTAGGTGGTCTTATGGAACACCACATTTATACAGAGCCTGTTACAACCAGTAGTAATTATAGTGAAATAGTGGTTGCTTGTGTGGAATTGGTTTAACAAAAGCACACATCTAAACAACACTCACTAGAGTGGGATCCTGTGAAAACAAGGTAAGGGACCCTGAAAGGTAGAAATAAAAATACTCACTCCTCTGGATAATCTAGCAGAAATAGTTAAGATAGCTTCAGGAGGTATAAAGTGGGGTATAAAATACTGAAGCAAGCACAACAAAAATTAACCCAATGCTTAGATGGACGAAGAAGAAGAAATCCTTTCAGTCTAGTAATAGCTGTAAGTGACAGCAGAGGTATGTTTTTACCACTTTTGAAACCCTACAGAGAACTTGGTTTCTGTTTTTAATCTCTCAGTGTTTCTACTTACCACCATATCTACCAAGGAATTATCATTTAAATGATTTAGGTCAATTCCAATTCTTCCCATAGAATGTTCAGAGTCAGGAATATGATTAATATCTTCTCTTCCAAAAACAAGAAAATTCATTTAAAAATTCAGTAATCTCTTACTTTTCAACATAAACAATGCCATCAGCAGTATTTAAAGGCCATTTAAACATTTACTTACCTTTAACATGAAAAATCCTTACTGATTCTCATTAGTCCTTTACAAATCTCCAACTTTCCGATATTCCTATAAATCTTCTATCATATATGTCAATTTACACTTAAGATTTGTGACACTTATTCCTGATTTTTGTCTTCATGTCTTTAGCATTATCCTTTCCCTCTTCTAAGGAACATGCCTGTCTCTAGTTAAAAGCAACTCAATTTCAAAAAATTCTCATATGTGTTCTACTTCACCTTTTGTTGTTATTCCAACTCAGTAATGAAGAACTTTGTTTCTGGTCCCAAAACTAGCTTTCAGAAAATTAGGAACTAAAGTTTCTTGTTTTTCATCCCAAAAAGTAGCAAACTAACAAACTTAATTATATGGTGATCACTCTTCCTCAATTGTTTCCTCCATTTCAACTCTTGCAACCATATCCCAATTAACTCTAAAATAGCATTTCCCATAGTTGGACCTCTAACCATCTGGTATAGAAAACCATCTTGAATCACTTCACAGTGATATATGAAGGAGTTTCAAAGTGGAGATGCTTGGCTAGACATGTAGATTTTACAATGAAAGATTGATAATTATAAGGAGTTGCTAAAAGCAGCTAGTGTTGCCAAAGTTACCATTTTCTTACACTAAAAATGCATATCCAATAGGTACTTACTTCTTGTCAAGCAAAGCTATCTCAATCTTCTTACTGCCCTTAAGCATGACAAAAAATTTTAATGCTCAGTGCACCAGTCTATATACTCCACAATTTGAACCTGTATATAACATATGACCACCCTCCACCAGTAGTACTGTGCCACCTACATTGGTACAGCTAGCTCCCTCTAATGTTACTGCTCAATCGTCACTTTTGAGAATTGGCAGGATCTAAAATTAAAAACACCAGCAGTGTGGGGGATGGGTAGGAAGTGTGTGACAGGAGATAAGTACCTATCAGAAATATGTTTTCGGTGTAAGAAAATGTTAACTTCTGATACAGTTCTACTTGCTCTCACCCAAAGCCAGAATCCCACACTGAAGAGGAAGAGAGGCCTGTGTAGGCACCAAACAGTGAAACCAAGTAGAAAGCAATCTCCTAAAAATAACTGGTGTACTCAGAGACAAAATCGAAGCACACGCACAGGGCAATGCACTGCTACTGGAACAGGTATGCTCTTTGCTCTGTAAGAAGGAAATGAACCAGACATGGTTGAAAAAAAATAGTAGTACAGTCTTAATACATTCTGAGAGATGCAATCTACAATAAAAAACAAGTTTGAAGGGTCCTCCATCACACAAACAAGACTGGCTCCTGTAGTTGAAGAGCTTCTCTATGAAATGAAAACTCAAAGCAAACTCGATACCCACAAAAGGAGAAACATCAAGTCAAGGGACAGTTCACCAAAATATAATGATGGAGAAAAACAACTTGCCATGGCTAGGTATCTACCCAACTTCAACCAGACAGATGAGGTTCCACAACCTGCTATTGGCATTAGGAGATTGAGGATCACCCAGATAAAAACAAAATTAGAGTAACCTAAACATTATGGCTAGAGTATGTGGACCATGTGATATATATAACTCATAGGATCCCACTCTGTGGCTAGTATTGCCTGATCAAGTGTGCTTTTACTCAAACCTGCACTATATACAGGTAGAGCTATAATGCTCACTGTAGAGATGGGATGTTTCTCAATGCAACTAGTGGCATGCCTTGTGGTATATACTTGTGTCTCTAGGTATCCATAAGTTTAACTAAGTGGTGGACAGTCAATCATTGATTATCATGAATAAAGCAAAAGGGATTTCATCCCATCCCTGCCAACATCCATTAAACTTTCTCCAGTGTGACCTTCCTCCAGACTCCCCCTTTTTCCCCCAAGTGGAACACAGGAGTCTTTACCAGTTCCTAGTCACTAAGGTGGTGGACCAAGGTGGTTTCTTCCTGAGTGTGAAGTAGAAATATACTTTACAATACAACCACATATTTATCTCCTCAGTGAGTTGAGGGCAAAGCTGGGTTTCCTCCTTCCCTTTCTCCTGGACCAATTGTTAGTTGGAGCAGGACCAGCCTATACAGGATCCTCTTCATAATACTGGGTTCAGGATGACACTACCCTGTTCCCATGGTTGAGTGCCCTACCCTCTCCCCTTCTTGTTAACCCATTTACTGTGGCTGAGATATTGAGTTTTGGGGACTTCATCTGCCTCGTACTAAGGCAACAGGACGTACGTACATTGTTTTGATGGTTAATCAAATGTTCTACATTCTTCTCGTGATCCTGGGTGCAAAGTTTGTCTTCCCTGTATTTATGGTTGGGTAAGTTATGACTTCAGCTCTTAATACTGGTTATTGCCCTGTTATTATAGTTGAGTTAAGGCAATGACACAACTCTGTAATGCCAGGTTCGGTTCACTGTAGAGCAAGCTCTTATGGTGGTTTTGGGAGTTTGTCTGGTTTTGGCCAAATGCTAACTCCCTCTTTGTAATTCCAGTTGCTTGATCAATGAAACCCTATTTATGGTTGGTGAGCAGTAATAGAGGGTACCTTAAAACAAAACACAAATGAAATGTTGTGAAAAGACATACCCAAGTCAAAGGCAACCATATATGTGTAGAATTGCCATGAGAGAGAGACAATATCCTACCTGAGGAAGATACAGCCAGATAGTGCAGATAATGAGCAATGAAAGAATAGGGAGTAGTCCACATAATAGCCTGAACAATTTCTTCCAACAGACAGTGAAGACGAGCAGCCAAAGACATGGTGATATGACAATTTGGGGGGAGAAGAAACACTGAGGAGATGGCAGCCTTCCATTGATAAGTCTGAATATGCCAGCCTAAGGAGTTGACAGGAGGGTTCTAGGAAATAGAAAGTCAGGAAGCAAACTCCTAAAAGAGGCAGTACATTCCATATAACATTGTAGGGAGTGAACTTGACAAGGAAGCCAACCAGGATTAGAATGGGAGTACAGGTGGGAGATGGAAAATAAAGAAATGGGTGTGAAAGCCAAATGGCCTTCCCAGGCAACAGAGGTCTTAGGGAGGAAGGACCAGTCTGGATATGTGATGACAAAAGAGGTATCTAATCCCCTAGGAATGAAGGTCTGTACCTCCTCAACAATAGTCAAACCTGATGCCTGGGTAGTCATACCAGAAGTGTTGTCTATTGTAACAAGAATTTCTATTGAATTACCAACTCATTCCAAATTAGCGTACAATTCGGAAACAATAAACACATGCAAAAAAAAAAAATTGAAACAAGTGAATGCAAAGTAAATGAAAATTATTGAAAAAGTTATTGAAATGTCAATGAAGTACAATCATAAATGGCAGTCACATGTGAAAAAAACACACATCTAAATGATACTGTTCCAATCGAGAAAGTGAGGATTGAGCGTAAAAAATATCCCAAAGGTTAAATGCAGAAGATGACTTCTACCCTGCCAAAGTTATAATTTTCCTATACAGAAAACGTACTTCCGATAAGTACTTACCTCCTCTCACATAAATAGCTATTCTCATTCATTGCTGCCCTCTATATCCAAAAAAAATTTTTGCACATGCCACAAGCCTTGAATCTCCCATATCTGGAATTGACTCATTCCAATGCATCTTGCGTGCAAATCATTTTTTGGATAGGATTATATTAATTATATTATTAACAGCATGTGTAAACATCTTTTTCTTAATCTGTGTCATTGTAGTGAAAGGCAGTCTGTGCATATCTGACAGCAGAAAACTCTGACACAGCTTTTTTTGTATCATTTTCTGATAAGATCATGATCTATTGCTTTCTTAATCTTCACATTTCTGTGGAAGTAAAGAATCTAGGTCACTAACAGATACCCTTTTGCTTTGGAAGCTTTTGTTCCTAAGCCAGGACTATACAAATCTTTCACTACAGCATCTGGAGACCCTGTGAAGAGCACTGGAAGATTGAAGTTGATGTGTGGAAGTTTTCAACATGTCCCTGGATTATACATATAACCATATATATATATATATATATTATTCATGATTATTATTTCCAAAATTTGTCTTTCCAATAATCATATAACTTTACTTCCAGTCAAAACTTATACATTTTCTTGCAAATTTTACTATATTTACAAGAAACATCCAACAATATTGCTTTTCAATGATATTTTTATAAATGAGCTTCAAGAAGCACATCTTTAAGAAGTTTTTGGCTATTCTAACCAACCAATGACTTTTTTTCCTAGCCTAGCTTCTCTGTAAAATGTCATATGCTGCCTGATTGAATTTTTTTACTTTTCTGAATTCTGTAAAAGATATTTTTCAGAACTAAGATAAATATACTTCATTGTACTTTCATCTTTTGACAACATAATAATTCCACACATAACACATTTTTATTATATCGTACTTAAAATTTTATTTATATTATTGTTTGGCAATGAAAATCTTATTTACCTGACTCTACTTGTCTTTGTTGTTTTTTTATGAGAACATAAGAATTGATTTGGCCATTTCATCTTGGTTACAATTTAAATCACCTACGAGTCTGTATGCATCTCACAAAATAAAGTATGAGAGTTACTTCATATATTAGAATTCTCTTCTTTTTCAAATAAAAAATGACAGTAGAACATATATTTCAACAGCTTTTGGTAATATATCTAAGTGTACATTATGAAAAAAACAAACTGTTTATGGCAAAGCTACTAAACCTATCTACCACCTCATGTCAGGCCCAGATATACATGTACTCAGTAATTATCTAGCAAAACTTTTTTTCTTAAATTCAAATTTGCAACTAAGAAGCAAAAATCACCAATTTCTTGTCTTATAATATAAGCCACATCTAATGAGTATAAACTATAGGTATAAAATCCTTTGTTTT